CGGGTTTCCCAGCACGCACAGGGATCAAATCCTCGGCTTTTCTCTTGACTCCGTCTCTGCATCTATTAAATCACAGCGTGCTGATTCCTCTTAGTTCGTATTTATCAAATTCCCAAAGTGAAAGAGTTTTATTGTTTGTTCTGATTGAAAAACATATCCTCCTTATTTAAAAAAAAAAAAAAAATCAAACCAATACTTAAAAGTACAAAAAAGAAAGTAAAAGTCACCCAAAATCCTACCTCCCAGATAGAGCCACTCCTAGCATTTTGGTGAACAGCCTTCCAGACATATCCCCATGCATATATACACACAGGAATCTATGTATATAATTTTATAGGCGAGGGGTTGTATTATACATACTGTTCTCACTTGACACCTACTTTTCTCTCTCAACAATATGTCATAGACATCTTTCTGTGTCAATAAATAGAGCTCTACAAAATTATTTTAGTCCCTTCATAGTATTTCGCTGGATGGATGTATCATACTTTGTGTCTCTATTGATCGTTTAGAATGTTGTCAAGATTTTACTCTCCTAAACAATGTTGTGATAAATAACCATGTGTATGTCTCCTTGCTCATTTTTGCAATTATCTCCTTAGAATAAAATCCTGCAAATAGATTTCTGCAGTAAGGGTGTGCTGTTTCTAATTTTGCCTGTATTCCCTTCAGAAAACTTACCACAATGGGCTTCCCATCAACAGTGCTCCACCCTCTGTCTGCCCGCACCCTCGCCAACCCTGGGTTCTAACCTTTGGCCAAATCCACAGAAGGCAATGGACATTGGCATTGCAGAATAGTGAGAGCAAATGAATATCTTTGCGTGTGTTTTGGTCATTTATAATGATTTTCTTGGTGAATAGCCTGTACATGTCCTTTACCCATTTTTTTAAATGAGATAATTATCTTTTTCTGAATGAGATGTAAGAGGTCTTTGTACATTTGAGATCAAATTAAACATTTGTCTGTCATATATGCTTTCTCTCTCTCTCTTTTACTTTCATTTTCATGGTCTTCCAGGTATTACATTTTTAATTTTTATATATCCAAATTTATCATGCTTTATGGTTTGTAGGTATCGCATTATGATTAAAAGAGCCTTCCCCACCTTAAAAATGACCAAAAATTAATTCCTATTTATATCTCTGTGGTCTTCACGGTTTGAAAAGCCAGCTTGTGTGTTGTAATGGCTGGCCCATTATCCCAAAATAATTTATAAAATATCTCATATCTTTCCAACTCAGAAGAAACACCAGTTTATCACATATAACATCCCCTTAAATGTTTGGATCCATTTCTGGGACTCCTTTCTGTCCCAATGATCTGTCTTTCTTACACAGAATTTTAATGATGATCTCTTTGTAAACATTTTAATATCTGATAGAGTAAACATTCTTTTTTTCTGGACTTTCATGATTGCTCTCATTTTTCTTTCTTCAGATTCATTTTATAGTAATTTTGCCAAATTCAAAGAAATAGGATCCTGTTGGTGTCTTGGTTGCATTGCCTTCGTTTTGCACATCCATTTAAGGAGAATTGGCATCCTGATAGTATTACATCTTTCCACCCAGGATTTATTCAAGTCTCTCATATCCCTCAGAAAAATGTTCTGGTTTTCTTCATGTACACTCTAAATGTTTCTTACAAAATTTATTTCCAGGTATTTTGTATTATTGTTTTATTCTTGCCACTGTGGATGGGGACTTCTATTTTACCTTCTAGATAGCTATTTTATAAATTTTTAAAAATACTATTTGTTTTTGTTCATTGTTTTGTTACTGGTCGTTTTACAAAACTTTTATTTTTTTAATTATTTTTGGGAGAAACCAGATTTTTTTCTGATAAGATGAATAAGCATCTTATCTGCAAACTATTATTACTTTACTCTCCTCTCCCAGTATTTACACTTTTTATTTCATCTTCTTGTCTAATTGCAACAAAAGTGATTTATAGAAAGTCTTTTTTGAAATATTGATAACAATAGCTACTCTGGTCTAGTGTCTGACTTCAATAAGAATACATCTAGGGTTTCACCAGCCTCTGTCTGTTGTTCATCCTTCCTACTCCTGTGACCACTATTCTAGTCTGGCCCATATTAATTTGTTACTTGTTTTATCACAAACATGAAAAATTAGAGTGCAGAGCTTGAAGTCAGATCATCTGTGTTCAAGTCCTGGCTTCCATTTACTAACTACATAATCTAGTCAAGTTACTCAAGACCTTTGAGAAACAGTTTTAGAAAATAAAATGAGTTGTAAGAATTAACTGAAAAAAATATATAAACATTATGTATGGCATCAGTAAATATTTTTTCTCATTTCAGCCCCCAAATTCTCCATCCAATCCAACCTATATCCCACTCAGAGGTTGATCTTCCCAAAATACCGCTGTTCACATCGCTCTATCACTCCCCCTGCTCACAATCTTTACTTATTCCCCATTACCAACAGAATCAAGTGCAAACTCTTAAACTTGTGTCTGAGCCCTTTCCTCATTCAACTCCAAGCTTCCTTTTAGCCTTATTTCCCGTGGCCGCCTGCTGCCCCTGCCCATCACACCCTGCCTGCCCTTTACTCCCGCCACGGCATTCTCCTCACTAACGACTGCATACGGCTACGTAGGTCCCACCCCCCAGATCACTGTCACAGAGCCCTTCAGCGGCCCCTTTTCCAGCTTTTAGTTGCCAAGGAATACCAAAATGAAATCCCACTTGGTTTAAACAGTGGATACATTAGCTCACTCAACTAAGTAGTCCAGATGCAATGAGCTTCAGGCACAGTTCGAGCAGGTCTGGGATGCCATTTTTCGTGATTTTCTAGCCTCTTCCCACCTCCCATGTTGACAGTAGTCTCGCCTTGTGTTCCTAGTCACCAAATGACCGCCAGGATTTATGACTGTGTGCCTCCTCATTTGAATACGGACAGAGAGATTGGATGTCTTTCCTTGGCCTCTGACAAAAGTTCTAAGCCTCTTGTCTGATTGGGCCAACCTAAACCAACCCCTATGACCAGGGGAATACGTGTGCTGATTAATTTATAACCAACCAGCGAGCCCAGGCAGCAGCGAGTAGGTTATTTTGACTGGCTCAGCCAATCAGGACTCATCTCCAGAGCCACACACTGGCTAATGGAGGTGGGTGGGGCATTGACAACAACCGATTGCACTACAATCTCTTCTGCTTCCCTTTCTAGGGAGCTGGGCTTCCTTTAAGCCCCAAGTCAAACCCCAGACCTCTGAAAACGAGCCCCCTCTCATTTAACTCCAGAGGCCTTACTCCCTGCTCAACACATGGCAACCACGACCTTCTGTAACTGACTCACATAAGAGTGTGTCTCTTCTTCCCGTGAATAATCACAGGACTGATTGAAGTCTGCAAAAACACTTTATACAAGCTGGCCCTTCTGACCTTCACAACAATCATCTGACTCAGAGAGGTTACGTGACTTGCCCTATGCCACACAGCCAGAGACAACATGATAACATTGCCCCAGAGGCCTCTTCTCTCTCTCTCTCTCTCTCTCTCTCTCTCTCTCTCTCTCTCTCTCTCTCTCTCTCTCTCTGCCTCTCTCTCTCTCTCTCTCTCTCACACACACACACACACACACACACACACACACCTTCCTCCTCCTCCACTCCCCAACTCAGGCCTGATCTGAAGTTGCAGAAGCCCCTGGCACCCCCTCCTTCCCCCTCCTTCACCTCCATTTCTAGAGCTCCGAAACTTCCTCCAAAAAGTGCAAAGTTTTCTTGCCAGGCTGCAGTTTCTAAGATTTGTGTGACAAGGCCGGGTGAAATTCAAATGACTCCGGGTGATTTAATCTGCTTGGGGCCGGGTGGTAAATCAGCTCGGCCTGGGCTGCCTGCCGCCCCAGAAAGCCACCCGCCGCGCAGGGGAGAGCAGCCTATCTGCCGATCGGCAGGTGAGGGCCCTGCCAGCGGGAACCGCGGCCCGGGAGTTCCCCTCCGCTGCTCTCGGAATACATTTGGAGGGTCCCGGGGCCCACGGCCTCTCCCGGCCTACATGTTCCACCAGGAAGCGTCTCTCCCAAGGATGCAGCCCTAATTCCTCCCTCCCCCCGCCCGGTCGACAGAGCCGGCTCCCAGGACCACGCTGGAGGTTGTAGGGGAGGAGGCCAGCGTTGGTCAAGCTTTCACTGAAACTGGGGCCTCCGTGCCAGGTCCTGATGCACCCACACACCCATTACCTCATTTCATCTCCACAACAACTTAATGAGGGAGGCATGTCCGTCCTCGGCGTACAGGTGACTTAATTGAGGCTCTGAGTGATTAAAAAAAACTCGCCCAGGGTTATTACATCGCGAGCAGGAGGCAGAGCCAAGATGCAAACCTAGATTCGTAAGACTCCGAAGTCCACCCCGCTGCGGAGGCTGAGGGGGCATGGCAGCTTTCCCTGGAGCCTCGTGGCCTGAGATGAGAGAGGGGGCAGCCCCCCATTAAGGGGGAGTTGTTACTCTGAGCAAATGAAACCATCGTTTTTTCCGCACATGGGAAACGTCAAAGCAGAAGGTGGTCACGCTATGACGTGTCCACTGCGTGTGCCTACGTAGGTGCCCGGGACCAGGTGCTGAGCATCCATCCACCTAACCATCACCCGGTAAGCAGGGGGCTGCTGGTAAACATGTACCAGCCAGCAATCTGGAGGAAAAGGCAAGCTCTGACTTACGGCGTCTGCCCATTCCTGTGGTGTCAATGTTCCCACCATGGTCCGCTGCAGGCTGTCAATGGGATGTCACTGGACACGGAGTCGGGAAGAGACGCCCTCAGTCAGTTCTCTAAGCCAGTAGGAGAGCAGCCTGGGGAATACAGCCGATAAGGCTGCAGTAACTATGTGTGGTGGGTACTGGACTTGCCAGTAACGGCGGAATCCCTTCATGAGTTACGGAAATGTCTAGCCTCTGTACTGTACACCTGAAATGAACATACTATTAAATACAAAAACAAGACAAAAAAGCCAGTAGAAACCAACTCCAGCACACCACTGCCTGCAAGAGAGGTTTTATTAAACCCATTTAACAAACGAGGCCGTACAGAGAGGCCCTCGAGCTGAAATCCATCTCTTTACAATGGTCCCGATTCCGCGGTCTCTCCACAGCTCCGTGTTCCCTGAGCCGGAGGTGAAGTGGGGAGCCACGCTCACTGGTTTCTGAAGGACGGTACCCTCCCGGGAGGTCCTGAAGGGCAGAAGAAAGCCAGTGGGTAGAAATGCTCCAGGAAGGTGGACTCAGCTACGTACGCCTGGCACATAGTAAGTGCTCAATAAACAACAACTCAATGAATGAATGAATGAACACAAGCAAGAAAAAGCCATTACCTGCATCTTCTATTGATCCCTCAAACTCACCTAATCCCTTACTGAGCTCATCATCTTTTCCCAAAAAAAAGCCTATCCCTCCTCCTGTCTCAGTATCACCAAGCCAGGAACTTGGGGAGTCCTGGCTCTCCCTCCCCCTGACCATCCCCTCATCCAAGTGATCGCCAAGTCCTATCTGTTCCTCTGGAGCAGATGCTGTCCTCAACCTACCCGCTCTGCTCCCCGCTCAGATGGTCACCCTCTCACCAGAGCTTCCTCACCGGTCTTTCTGTTCTCATCCCTTGCCTGGACCCACCGCCAGCCCCTGTCTAACCCATCATCAAGGAAACTGCCAAAGCGATCTTTCAAAACCATCCCTCTGCGTGTGTCCCACCCCTTCCACAGCCTCCCCTGGCCCAGAGGATGGACTGAAGCCTCCTGGTCCTCCAAGGTCTGGCCCCTCTCCCTCACTCGTTGGGTCGCCAGGCTCCTCCTCCACCCACCCCACCCCGTGAACACCACCAAGGAAGCATCCGGCCTCCATTGGCGCCTTTGCTCACGCTATGCCCTCTGCCGGAAATGCCCTTTCTTCCCTCCCCCACCTCCCTTCCCTTCGCCTGAAAAACAAATACTCACCCTTTAAGACCTAAGGGAAGATGGCTCAGCCGATGATTCCTTTTCGCACTTAGCATTTCATGATTCTCATGCCAAGAAGGCTTTTCAGATTCTGCTGTCACCTTCTCTCTTCATGGGGCCCTCCCTCCCGTGGGGGATCCTCCATTGCAGCTCCATCGTTTTATGGGCAGACAATCCCAGGCCCCAAGAGGGCAAGGGGCTTGCCCACAATCACACAGCAGAGGCAGGACAAGGCCCAGACACCGGCCTCCCAGCTCAGGGCTCTGTCTTTGCAACTCGCTCTCCAACTTGATCCGCTCCTTGCACTTCAGCACTTCTATTCTCATTACGGCCATCGCTACCCGACCCTGACTTACCTCCTCACACCCACGGCGGCTCTCGCCTTTCCTGCCTGTGCTCACACTGCTGCAAGGCCAGGACCTGCCACCTCCAGGAAGCCCATCCTGATTATCCAACCAAACCCATCCAATACCACACACTCTCCCCCAATCACCCACCTGTGTGTATCAAGACCCAGCCCCTGGGACTTAGTTCACTCACAGTAGTCAGCATCTCGTTTTATCTCGCCAGGCAGGATGTCCACTCTTCCATCTTCTTTCTTCCCGTGCTCCTCCTCCTTGTACATCCCCAGCCGCAAACACAACCGCTTAGGGTAACAGCGTATGGCGAAAAGAGGGTGGCATCTGGGGTCAGAGAGATGGAGGTTCAAATCCCAGCTCTACAATATCCCTGACTGGTTGCCCAAATCCATTTGAGGCTCAACTTTCTTTATCTAAAAGAATGAGTTCACTGCCAAAACCGGTTTGGCTCAGTGGTAGAGCATCGGTCTGCGGGCTGAAAGGTCCCGGGTTCGATTCCGGTCAAGGGCATATACATTGGTTGTGTGCAAGAGGCAGCTGGTCGATGTTTCTCTCTCATCGATGTTTCTAGCTCTCTATCTCTCTCCCTTCCTCTCTGTAAAAGATCAATAAAATATATTTTTTAAATCAATAAAATATATATTTTTGAAAATGAATAGCTCATCCATATTCCACACCCAGCACTTAGGCTCTTGATACGGGCCAGTTCCCTTCCCAAGTGAAATGCCCAAGACACTTGGAGAAGACAGCTCCTGAGGGCTGGGAGGTGAGCAGAGTCCTGAAATCTCACTCCCACCCTCGCCAGGCACGGAGCAGCCTGTGTGCAGAAACGTGGGGTATAGCCAACCTCCCGTCCCCACCCCCAACAATCTGCTTTAACCTTCCTATCACAAATGCCTTGTTTATTTCAATAGCATCCGTTTTACTTTTCCGTTCATGAAAAAAAAAAAAATTTTTTTTACAGAAACAGATTTAAGAGGAAAAGAAGTCTTTAATGAGTAAAACTGTCTGCAGCCCTGTTTCTTTCTCAGGAAAAAGTGGCTGTGATTCTGGCATGAGAGGGAAGCTCAACAGCTTCCCTTCGCTGCAGCTGCCAGGAGAAGTGCATTTCGGAGGAACAGAACCTCCATGTTAAACAGTGCGCCTCGGAGCCAGGCGCTTCCTGTGCCGGATTCCGCTTGGCAGGTGACACCCCAGCTCAAGCGGGGATCCAGCCCCACCGCGAGCAACCGCAAGGCTCTCTCTGTTCCTGCCCGCCTCCAGCAGGGGAGAGGCAGCCCTGCCAGGCCCTGGCAACCCACTGACCACGAGGAGAAAGGCTCCGAGACAGGAAGGAGACAACTGGACAGGGCGGCTACCCCTGGCCCGGGGCCAAGAGGACCGGGACCTCTCTCAGGTCCAGTGCACTCAGGGACCAGCACTTTCTCTCCCCCAAAGTAGGGCAGTGGGACATAAAGATCAGGTCCAGGACTTGCTGCTCAAACAAAAGTTCAGAAAATCTGCAACTTCACTCTCTGTTTCAAAGGTGACATTTCAGAGGGCCGCTCTGGATGGGGCTCAAGGGTCAAACTCTAAAAAAGCTCTGTTCCTCTAAGAACTAAACCCTCCCCCCCCCAAAAAAAAAAAGAAAGAGGAAAAACTGAAGAAGGGGAAAAAAAAGAAAAAAGAAAAACACACAGAAAAACACACCTGACCTTCAAATATGAACAATAGTGAGTCCCCAGGGCAGAGAACAGGTGGGGTCAGGATGGTGGTCCCCTCCTTTATCCCAAACCTCATACCTCTATTAATGTAGCCCGCTGACTCATAATGAGCCTAATGGCCCATGATTTCTAAATCTCTTTCTTATGAGCTGCTACTCCTCTCGACAATCTTTCCTGTAGTTGAGATGGGCCCCAGCCTCTATCCCTGTGACATTTCATCATGCCACCTTGTCACACATGCCCATTGAGATCCTTCTGGGTCCTGATTCTGCTATCTGACCTTTTCTCTGTTCTGCCACCTCCTCCTGTTACAGGCCTGCACCCCTTATGTCTTCTTCTGGATCCTTGGTATATATTGGTCAGAACAGGGGAGAAGACAGAGCCCATAGACCTTTACAGACTGACCTGGTTCCCCTTATAAGCACATTCCATGGCTGTTGTTTGGCCAGATGGGGGTCTCTTCGTGCTCTCACAGCCACGATCATGTCCTCAGACACCATGAGAGACCCTGTCTTGTGTCTTAGGAGGCAGCGTGATCTGACAGAAAGGCTTGAATAAATCCAGGCCCGGGCCCCAGCACCACTGGTCTTGGGCAAGTCACTTAACTTCCCGGAGAGTCAGCTGCTCACCTGCAAAATGGAGACCATCATATCTAGTGCACACGGGTGAGGAGATTAAGATCTGGCACACAGTAGGTGCTCAATACCTAGCTTCTGCTCCACTCCACACAAGCTCATAGTCTTCAGCCACCAGTCACTGAGCTGTTGAGATTGAGAGGATTTGCCTATTTAGGTTGGTTCCAGGGACCACTGCCTTCTCTGAGTGTCACAGATTTCACCTCCGTACTAGGCCCTCACACTAATTTGAGGTCTTTATGATGTGAATCCAAGGCAATCTCCCTTCCTGGATCTGAGCAGTTTCTTAAGTAAAATAATAACAAGAATAAGAACAGCTTAAGCCTTCCCATCCCACTATGAAATGAAAACTACCTCCATTTTGCCTATGAGGAAACTGGGATTCAGAAACGTTAAATAGCCTTTCCAAGGTCGCAGAGCTGACAAATTCGAAAGCTAAGCAGAGCTCTGCCTGACCCTAAACAGCAGACTCTCAACATTAGCCAATATTTCCTACATGTTGGCCTCTCGGGGGCCCTACTGCACTTGTCTTTTGGACTGAAGTTCACTTGGTTGAGTGCCTTTTGGGTCCTGTTACTGTCCTCATGGGGTGGCCCACATAAAGAGTGGAGATGGGGGTGAGGAGGTGAGGGTGAGGCGCAGACCCACTGCTCCTTGAAGACCCGGATCAGTGGGTTGATCTCCGCATGAGCATCAATCTAAGCTCTTGGGCCCTGGCTTCCCCCGCAGCCTAAGCACAAGGCAGCCTGGACCCTCTCCCCTGTCCTTCCTCAGGACCCAGTCGCCTGCCGCAGAGCCCTGATGCCTCTGGACTGCCCGCTGCCTCCTAGGCCCCGCATGGCCAGGATCCCCACCTGCCCAGGGACACCCAAGGCCCTTTCTCCCAATCATGTGTCCTGACTATCTAGATGCTGAGTCCTGCCCCCAGCATGGCTGTGCCCCACCACTGAGAACCAATGCTCACCCTTCCCTCAAGCCTGGGGTCCAGGTCTGGCCCCGGAGAAGGGAGGGAGTGGACCCAGGAAGCTGCCAGGGCCCGGGGCTCAGGCCTGTGGCCGCCATGGGGGCAGCCAGTAAAGGGGAGGATCCTTAGAGATTCCAAAGGAAGCCATCCGTGGGTCTGTTTGCAAACCTTAACAACACCCAGACAGGGGGCCCAGAACCGGAGGCCCGTGTCAGAGCCCTGCCCCTGGGGCCTCCAAGGACAGAGCTTTGGAGCAGCTCCCTCTGCTCCCAGACACAGTCTCTTCCCCCACCCCACCCCACCCCACCCCCAGTCCAAACACAGCCTGGACAGTCACCCCACCATGAGCACTCGCGCTCCCAGCCCATTCATAAAAAGAGCACTCACAAGTCCACTCACGCCCTCGCTCCACAGACAGAAGCCCAGCCACGCACTCGGTAGCTATGGATTAAGCTCCCGCTCTGTGCCAGGCTTGCTTCTGGGCATGTGGGATCCATCCGCGGCCAAAACAAAGGTGCCATCCCTGGTGAGTCTTCCATTCTAACTGCAAAGCCAACAGTGCAAAGTAAACTTAAATGACTGAGCCATTCAGTGCCCTGGCGGGTGATGGGGACAAAAGGAAAAATAGGACGGGGAACGGAGTGCTGGGGAAGAGGCAGGAAGCAATTTTCAGGAGGGTGGCTGGGGCTTCATCAAGAAAGGGACACTGGGAGTGCCCAACAGCCACCTGTGCATGGCCAGCGGCTCCGGTAGGGGACAGCCCATTTTCCCATTCACATTCACCCCCATGGTACGTCAGATACTCCCTGTCACAAACACCCAGAGACCTGCCGGAGCCACCAAATACCACGAGCCTGGGACATAATGATAGGAAGGCTGATCAATGTCACCACGTCAGGGGAGTGATTGCGGGATCCCACCGCCTCTTCCAGCTATTACGATGTTTCCTTCTTCCTCCAAGTGCTGTCGAACCTTCTGTCTCCTCCGCCTCCCTTCCTGACACCCTCAAATCTGTTCTCCCACCCTCGGCGCTCCGTCCACACTGGGCCTGGAAAGATAAGCAGCCCTCTCCCCTTTGCTTTTCCTGCACTCTGGTGAGATCAGCTCCACCTGGTCCACGTCGGGTATTGTATGAGGAGCCGCCTTTTCACACAAAAAGGACGGGACCCTTAAGGGAACTCCTAAAGAAGGTGATGAAGTTACTTGTCCATTCATTCAGTCAGTATTGATTGAACACCCACAATGCCACTGGGTGCCAGAGATTGTCCTAATGGCAGGGATGCAGACATGAACAACACGGCTCAGATTCCTGCCCTCCCAGCGCTCACATCCTGGCAAAAGAAACCATAAATAAAATAAATAGCAGTCCCCCCTTAGCTGAGGTTTGGTTTTCCACGGTTTCAGTTATCCATGGTCAACCATGGTCTGAACATAGGAAATGGAAAATTCCAGAAGCAAGCAACTTATACATTTTAAATGCATGTCTTTTTGAGCCTCCCTCGTTCCCCCCCCCCCCGCCCCCGCTTTGTCCAGCAGAGTCACACTGTATGTACTCCCTGCCCGGAGCCACAGTTACCAGACGATTGTGGTCGTATCGCAGGGCTTGTGTTCCAGGAACCCTTATTTTATTTAATAGTGGGCCCACAGCGAAGAGTGATGCTGGCAATTCAGGTGGGCCAAAGAGAAGCCACCATGTGAATGTGCGTGTAGGGAAAGCATACATGTAGGCTTCAGTACCATCTGCAGTGGCAGGCACCCACTGGGGAGGTCTTGGCATGCGTGTCGCCCAGGGAGGGAGTCCACTCTCAGTAAATATATGGTGTGTTCCATGGTGACCCAGGTTAATGGAGAGTAAAGCAGAGGAGGAGTAAGAAGGGAGGAGGGTTTTAAGCAAGGATGGCCTCCTGTCCTCACCACAGACTTTTCCACTGCACAAAACACACCCCTGAATATTTCAAAACACACCATCACACACTCACACTAGACTCCACGCAGACAGGCACGTGGTCCTCCTCACTGCTTTCAAAGGGCGTACACGCGCGCGCATACACACGTACACACAGGCACACACAACACGCCTAGGCGTACGCATGCTCACGAGTATACTCAGCATACGCACACACA